GCACGTGCACTCTCAGTGTTGAGATTACAGGCATTTGGTACAGGTCTCAGCTTTTCCCTACAGGCTCTGAGGAAAAGTGTTTAGAGGTTAAGCCATCTTTCCAGCCCTTGCCATAGTTGTCTTTCAAAGTGAGTAAATGATTCCATTCTCATCCAAATTGACAGAAAAATGACTGTTCTTTGCAATGGATGATAGAGCTCTTTCTGCTGCCTGTAATTATAGCCAGTTTTGTAAGTCTTCCTTTGGAACTCTTTAAGCTTTAAGCATCTGTTTCCATGTATACTTTACTGTAGGCATTTAAGTAAAACTTCTGTGTCAGGATATATAGACAAGGAAAAAAACATTTTCAGGCACATATAAATGCTATTCTCAATTGCAGGAACTCTCAGAGCAGAATAGGGTCTTAGAAATATCATCTCCTTTTTCCTCCAACTTTCTTTTTTTTTTATGCATATAGAGTATTTTTTATTTAATTTTATATAACAAAGTCCAATTAAATGAAAACAAACATTTATACACAATATTTGGGAATTTGGGCGTCGTTCTTTCCAAACTACTTCCTGCTGGTAAGGGGCGCTGTCTTGGGGGATTCGAAGAAGATTCAGATATCCTAGCTGTAGTCTGTAGGGCTGTTTTGTCCAGATGTTTGGAATGTAGGATCAGCTTGTACTCTGTTTCAGGCAGTCTGGTGTGATCAAACCACATTAGTCTGGAAGGAATCCACATCTTTTCATTTTCTGTGGAAACAAAAATAGAAATACTTTTTCCCCAGTAACTTGTTCTTCAACTTAAATTTTGGAGTCAAAGCGTTTTTTTTTTTTTTTTTTTTTTTATTATTTTACATGTCGATCCCAGTTCCCTCTCCCTCCCTCCCTCCCTCCCCCCAAGCCCTCTCTCCCTCCTTCCCTCCCTTTTGCCCTCTCTACCCTCTCCCATGCACTCTGAACACCCTCCCCTCCCAACCCCCCACCACAATACAATATGTAGGGGAATGCCATCCAGTTGGGGTCATGTAGATCTGACAGGTCCTGTGAAGTAGGGACTAGGGCTTCTCTCCTATCTCTAGAATAAGGCAGTTATCCCTCCATGGGGGATATGTTTGCAAAGTCCTTTTGTGCACCAGGGATACATCCTGGCTCCACTGTCTGAGGTCTCTTAGGCTGCTCAGACCTTCTGGCTGAGACCCATATTCAGGGGGGTCCGAGTCAGACCCCTGTTGGCTTCCCAGCTATCAGTCTAGTGGCCCTTAGCTCCTCCTTGTTCAGGTAAGCTGTCTCTATGTACTTCTACCGCATGGTCTTGTCCTCTCCATCTGCTTCTGGGTTCTAGTTTGACTCAGTGTTTATGTATGGGTGTTTGCTCCTGTTTTCAACAGGCATTAGTTGAGGACTCCATGGAGAAGTTAGTTGTTGATCTCACTCTCCGGGAAGGGCATTTATGATAGCCTTTCCACGGAAGCTGAGATTGTTAGTTGGGAGCAGTCTTGTAGTTCCCTCGACCTTTCTTTGTGTTCAACTTTATCTTCAAACCAATATTGGCTCCCTCTTTTATGTTCTCTCTCTCTGTCTCTCTCTCTCTGTCTCTCTCTCTCTGTCTCTCTCTCTCTCTCTCTTTCCTATTTTCCATTCCTAACCAGGCTCAATCCTCCTGGTCGCACATGCCTTCCTCTCCTCCCTCTCATTTTCTCCTACTTCTCTCTCCATTAGCTGTCCTCCCCCACTATACCTGAGGTCTGGGGGACTTGTCCCTTCCCAGTTCTGTGAGGGACTTTATATGAATCTCTTAGAATACAACTTGTATCCTAGTTCCTCTGGTGATGTGAATTATATGCTGGTGATCATTTGATCTAGGTCTAAAATCCATATATGAGTGAGTACATACTGTGTTCCTCTTTTTGTGACTGGGTTACCTCATTCAGGATGGTTTCTTCAAGTGCCATCCACTTGCCTGCGAATTTCAAGATACCATTATTTTTTTCTGCAGAGTAGTATTCCATTGTGTAGATGTGCCACATCTTCATTAACCATTCTTCAATTGAAGGGCATCTAGGTTGCTTCCAGGTTCTTGCTATTACAAATAGTGCTGCTATGAACATAGTTGAACAGATGTCTTTGTTGCATTGATGTGAATCCTTTGGGTATATGCCTAAGAGGGGGATTGCCGGGTCCTGTGGTAAACTAATTCCCATTTTCCTGTTCCTCCAACTTTCTGTCCCAAGCACATAATTGCATCTAATGGAAGCCTTGAACCTGAGTGCTGAGTTTGTCTATGGTGAATTGTAAAACACTCTAGGATCCCATGGGACATAGTCACCTAGGGAGCACTCATTTATTTAGAGTGTATGTTTAGCCAACAATGTGTTTGATTCTGTTTTAGACATTGGAAACACCTCTGACCCTGGAGCTTATGTTCCAATTAGAAGAGTAAATAAAACAGGAAAGAGATTAATAAAAGTGTAATGTATGTTGATAATAATAACCAGAAAGGAAAGTCAAGCAGAGAAGTCACACAGGGACCAGAGTTAAGGTCAACTGCAGAAGCTACATCCGGCTTTCCAGAGGAAATGTGTTGAGAATGGATTACTGGCTTTGTGGGTTGAGTGCAGCAAATACTTATAGTGGAAAAGGAGAGGAAAAAGTATAAGAAAAACCAGAGCTAAAAGAAGTGAAGAGGAAACTAGCTTATGTGAGTGAGGACTTCAAAGCTGTGAGGAACATAAACTAGAGACTTACCAAAGAGGTTGCTGAAACCCTTTACCTGTCATCCCAGCTAGGGAGTCAGCTCTAACAAGTTGCTTCCAGAGGTGTTTGGTCCTAAGGGTTAGGTGTCAAGAATACAGTAGGGTAGCCCTATGTTGCTTTCTCCTCTTGTTCCTCCTCTCCTTCTCTGTCCTTTCCTCTTCTCCATTTCCACCTCCCTCTTTCTCTTTCTCTCATCCCCTCACTCTTCCCCTTCACTCCTTCCTTCCCCTGTTACCTCCCTGTGTCTCCCAACTCCCTCAAACTCCATTTTTTCCTCTCTCTCCTTCTGTCCCTGCCTCTTCCATTCTTCCCTTTCCCCATGCTTCCCTTCCCTTGCTGTCTTCCTTTTAAGTTTTCCTAACCACCAAAAATATGCTTGTGCACCAAGGAACCCTGTGATTTATGTAAGGGAATTAAAGAAATAGGCAAGTCAGCCTTTGGTATTTTCTTTTCTGGGCTGGCTAGAAGCAGCCTATTAAATAGTTTGGAAGGTAGGACTAGGAAAACACACTTTGATTCAGGCTTTATAGAGACTTTCTGACTTCTTTCTGGAGGCAGTTTCATCTTCTATGACTTAATGCCAACAAGTCTCCTCTGCTGATCCTCTTTGCAGATTTCCTTTGACCTGAGCTCTGGTAAGTGGTTGAATAGTCCCTGAAAGGCATAACAGTGCATAACAGTCCCACACTGCTGCCTTCCGTAGAAGACAAATCCTGGACTGGACCTGAAGGGAAGAGACCAAGGTTAGACAGCAACAATATACATTGTCTTTCTTGGTATACATCTTATCTGTAGCAAAACAAAGCAACTAAAACAATCTTATTGCACTAGCAGAACATTTTGTGTTCAGAGTGTACTTCTTAAAAATAGCTATTTTAGTACCAGAGCCTTTGAACATTTCACTAATGACTTTGCTTTTTAGCCATAAAAGAAGGCTCTTGAAATTTCTTTATTTTTCTGTTATATTTTCCCTGGCTTCAACAATTTAAAGTGTGATTTTGAAGATGAAGCTATGGAAGAATAAGACCTGAAAGTCCTATGGCTGTGTCTGAGTGCACACTAGTGTCTGCCTTTCAAGCTCTATCTGGACGGCTGAATGATCCTTCTCCCTTTGTTCTTCTCAGACTCTGTGCCTAGAGACACTATTATATATTTGGGGGAAGAATGCAGAGATGTCAAATGAACTATCACTGTATGGACTGACAATTGCATTGGCAAGCTGAGTAAATAACTCAGTCAATGTGGAAAATCAGGTCCACAAATTAGAAAGTGACCACCTGGAATGCATAGTCTTCTAATTGCCTAAGATATTAAGTTCAGTGTCTCCTCGTTTCTATTATGGTTCCTTTCTTTTCTTGGGAAAAGAAGATATCACGTTGAAAACCAAACAAATACAGAAACAAAAATAAAATGTAAATTTTATGTGTAATGTGTAAGTGTGTATGTGTGTGTTTGTGTGTGTAGACCCCAGGTCAATAGCAAAGTCTTCCTGAATCTCTCTTCATCTTATTCTTTGAGATAGGGTTTCTCACTGAACCTGAGGCTAATTGATTTAACTAGGTTGTCTAGCCAATGAGCAAACTTCATGGAATCATCCTCCCAGCTCTGTGTCTACAGCTAAGATTAGAGACCTACTCCTGTACTCAGTTTATATGTGGGTGCTGGAGGTCTGAATTTAGGTCCTTATGCTTGTGTGCCATGTACTTAACTGAGTAAGGTTTCTCCCTAGATCCTCAAATATTTTAATTGCAATGGTAGATTCTGAGAGACAAAATATTAAAGAGTAAACAACAACAACAAAAAAACCAAAAAACAAAAAACAAAAAAACAAAACCAGAGTCTCTTTTGACCTGTAGCTTAATTGGTCTACCTCAGCCTTCTGAGTGCTAGAGCTGTAGGTATGAGCTAACAAGCCTGCTTTAAAAAATGTGTTTCATAATAGAACATTTCAGCTACCATGAGGAATAGAAATACTTTAAGTCAAATAAGTTTCCTGAGTGACCCTTAACTCCTGTGATGTTTGAAGCTTTTAGACTCACTGACTTGAAAGCCTTGACCTGGTACTTAGATTTCTCAGGGCATTCCCTTTTTTGGTGGTAGTGGATGGGTTGAAGCAGCAAATGGCCTCACATCATTTCTTTCCTGATTTGGCAGAGAGAACAGGCTCTTTATACAGACAGAAAATTAGAGTCACCCTGAAAGGAGTGGATTCTGAAGAGAAGGTGAAATATTTTCCTCCTGTTTCAACTTCCAGGAAGGCCTGAAAGTGGCCCAGGACCATGGAAGCATCTGTGCTGAGCCCCACATCCTGGGAGAAACGAAGGGCCTGGCTACAACAGAGCCGTAACTGGCAAACCCAGGTACTGGAAGAGGAGGCTGCAGCTGCCCTGCAGGATGCACTGGATCCCGAGCCTTCCAGCCTAGATGATGTTTTCCAGGAAGGTAAGAAGTTGCTGGGCATCACATAGATAGCCCCTGTATCTTGCACATGTCTACAAAGGATGGAAAGGGGCCTCTGTTTAGTAGGGACTTGGAGGCTCTTTATGACTCCTTTCAGTGAGTGCAAGGGAGAGATATAGTATCACATGATATATGGATTGTGTGAGGAGGAGGCAGGCAAATGATTAGGAAACAAAATGGGACACCTTTGCACCATTCTGAGAAACTTCTGTAAGAGTCAAAGGAAGAGGGTTTGTCTGTGAATTAAGTTTGTTTATATAACAAGACTACATACATTTTATGCCAAGATTCAGGCTGCAACTCTGACAACCTTTGAGACGTCTCTCTGAAGATTTTCTTGCTTAATGATGCAGTTGCCGGTATTATCTGATGTTCAAAGAGAAAGACCAGAAATATAGTCTGACAGAAAACCTTCTGGACCAATAAACCCACCCTTATTTATTAGGAAATAAAAGAATAGAACTTTTTTGGCATTTCCTTCTTTCCTTCCTTCTATTTCTTTCTTTTGTCCTTTTTTTCTTTTAATTTTTTAGTTTTGGGGAAGGAACCATCTCTATTCTCAAACTTTGGGAAAAGAAAGCAGAAAATTAGGTAACCTGGACACTGGGAACTTACCATTTTCTGAAGTAGAAGAGAGGCAGGGAGGAGAGACATATTCATTAGTTTTGCATTGAGTACTTCCCTTTCATAACCCACTCCCCATGGGTAGAAGAGTTATGCTGTGACTTGCATGAGTTATTTGAGGAGGTTCGGTTTTCTTCTGTTCCCACAATTACCCAGTGTCTACTTTTTCTAGGGAATCCACCCAATAAGATTGAGGACTGGCTGCAGGGATGTGGGTAAGTGCTCAAAAGCAAAGATGTGTCTGGTGGATGACTGTGATGGTGTGCATGGTTGTATGGAGTACGGTTTTCTCCGCCCTCCGCCAGTCTTGTCCCACCGTAGTGCCAGCCCCAATTAACACACCGAGACTCTGTATTAGATATAATTCTGTTGGCCAGGTACTAGTTTCTTATCAGCTAGCTCTGTCTTAAGTGTTAACCCGTTTTTGCTGATCTATGTATTTCTCTTACCGGGGAGCTGGCCCGCATTCTGCTTTCTCCAGACTCTCCATCTTGGCTCCCCTTACTACTTCCTATTTCCTTTTTGTCTTCTAGTCCCTCTTACCTTCCTTTCCTATTAGCTAACAGTGCTTTATTCATTAACCAACATGAGAAAAATTTACAGAATGGCATCTCCCATCACATGGTCCTTGTGAACTCACAGACAGGGAAAGAGTGAGAATCAGTTTGGACAAATGTAACTCTTCCAAGAGAAAACCATTTTCCCACTCTTGGCATTTCTTAGTTGGTGTTTGCAGGACTGAGGCCTCATGGGCTTTCCTGCATCTACTTTGGCATGCGTATTAGTGTTGTCCTTGTTCAGCATATGTTCAGGCAGTCATGTTGGTGAGACTTTGTGTGCATAGCCTCTGACGTTCATAGAAGAAGCAATCGTACAGGAAACTCCCTGTTCCTCTGGTTTTTACAGTCATTGTGCCCCATCCCTGAGCCTTAGGTGTAGAAGCTGCGTTGTAGTAATATCAGTTGGGACTGGGATCCAAAACCCTGCAAGTGTATTGGTAACAGTTTTCTGCAATAGTTTCCATCTTTTGCAAACAAAAGTTTTGTTAATGAGTGTAATTAGGGATAATGATGAGTATAATTAGCAAAGGGATGATTGTAAGTTCTCCTACACAAACCATAACTTCACTAGCCTTGGGTAGTTGAATAGGTTTCCAGTACCAGACATGATTTTCCTCTTGTTGAGCAGGTTTCAAGTCCAATTAGAAAACTATTGAATACTGCTAAGATATGTGTGCCACTACTGCATCTTTAGGATTATACTGCAGAGCTGGTCCTTGCTGTCGTTCATAGGCACTATGGCTGGATAGGAATATTGGTTACTTTTCATCCTTTGGAAACTTGCATGGTACTTTATTGTGCCATGAAAGCTAGTCCTCAGGGAGAAGGCTTTCTGGTCAATTCCAGTTTAAGAGCTTCTAGGCTATGTGTCTGAAGTACATGGTATCTTCAGCAGTAAGAATTTACGTTACACCTCTGGGTGGAGGAAATCAAGGGCAATAGCAATAGTTTGTAATACTTTGGGAGTCTCATGGACAATCTTGACCAACAACTCCAAAGAGGGCTTTTCATGTCTAGTGTTGAGATCTTTGTTAGGTGGTCTTTGGCTCTTGGAGGGAGCACTGTCAGTCTAGATAAAAAATTCTACTCAAGCTATAGACATATTTTATAATTTTAAAACATTTTAAGGAAATAGTTAATAGTATGGTTCCTTATGACTTTTCAGATGTCTTTACTCTTGTTTTACGTTCCTCCTGTATTTATCCGCCTCCCCCTTTCTAATTTTTAGGGCCCTTCCTTTTTTTTCTACTTTCCCCATCAGATTACTTGTACCCCACTAGTCTCCTCTTTATTGCTCCCACACATACCTACCCCAGAAATGATCCCTTTTTACTTTCTTGGTTTCTACAGTTATTCCAGGATGTGTACTTACAACTGACGATATGGAATTCGGGGTATCTGATGACAGAGAACATGTGATGCTTGTCTTTTGTGGTCTGGGTTACCTCACTCAATATAACCTCTTTTAGTTCCATCCTGCAAACTTCATGGTGTAATTTTTGTAACAATTAAATAACATGCTGTTGAGTTATAGTTCAAGAAATCCATTGTGTTCATGCACAGAAGTTGGTAAATAGCAACAAGGTGGAAGGATCTGGCATGTTGAGAATTAGTTAGTATGCTCAGAGTGTGAGAGAGATCATTCTTGGGCTTTTTGCTGGTGTCTGAAAAGGAGAGAGGAAGAAGGAATAAGAAAAGTTATAGTCTTTTTTAGTTATAACTAGAAAAACATTCAGGGTTAGCAGTGCTCCATGGCAGAAGCTCTGGAAGAGAGTGCATTATGGGTGAGCTTCTGGAAATGTGAATACATTGCTTCATTATTTCTCCCATCCTTTAGCATGTCCTCAGGAGAATCAAAGTGCTTTTCTGGTCAACTAATTGACAGGCTTAGATAATTACCTCTTAAGAAAGGAAATAATATTATGCAATGTTCTAAACACTGGAACAGATCAGAAAGTCCTATCTCCACTCAAGAACAGAGTTAGAATTGAGATTCCATTATTTTGACCAGAAATAACTAACATTCCATTAATGGAACTCAAAGAAGCCCTGACATTTTTGATGTATTATTTTAGATCCTAAGAAGGGGCAGTTATGGCATTTTCCTTTATAGTATAACTAGGGAAACAAGAGGTAGGTTTCTAAAACTGATTATGAGGAAAGGGCTTATCCTTTATGGCCTCCAAAGGTAGTAATGCCTAGAAATAGTACTTGAAAATAAGGTGATGAGGTAGGACAGAGTGCAGGCAAAAGGAACCAAGATCATGAAAAAGACTGCACTGTTATATTTTTTCTAGTTTTGACTCCATCCAGTACTTCTGATTTTCATGGAGGACATGTGCATTCAACTTTCTGTTATTTCTTCCAGGCATGACTGTGAAAAGTTAGACATTTCTCCCCCCATCCCCATTAACTACTGTAATTGGAATTAGACTTGACAAGTCACAGCATGTATTCGTTGCATGTTTGATTTTAAAAGTTGTGTTGTTAACTAAGAAAAGGTAAATTATTTTTTTTAAATAATGTTCTGAGAGAGAGAGAGAACATAAAAGAGGAATCCAATATTGGTTTGAAGATAAAATTGAACACAAAGAAAGGTCTAGAGAACTACAAGACTGCCGCCAACTAACAATTTGAGCATCCGTGGAAAGGCTATCATAAATGCTCTTCCCGGATAGTGAGATCAACAACTAACTTATCCATGGAGCCCTCATCTAATACCTGTTGGAAACAGAAGCAAACACCCATACATAAACACTGAGTCAAATTAGAACCCAGATGCAGATGGAGAGGACAAGACCAGGCTGCAGAAACACATAGAGACAGCTGACCTGAACAAGGAGGAGCTAACGGGCCAGCATGGGACTGACTCAGGCACCCCTGAATATGGGTCTCATCCAGAAGGACTGAGCAGTCTAAGGGACCTCAGACAGTGGAGCCAGGATGTATCCCTGGTGCACAAAAGGACCTTGTTAACACATCCCCCATGGAAGGATAACTGCCTTAACCTAGAGACAGGAGAGAAGCCCTAGTCCCTACTTCACATGACCTGTCAGATCTACATGACCCCAACTGGATGGCATTACCCTACATATGGAATTGGGGTGGGGGGATGGGAGGGGAGGGTGGTTAGGGTGCATGTGAGAGGGCAGAAAGGGTAAAAGGGAGGGAGGGAGGGAGGGAGGGGGAACTGGGATCGACATGTAAAATAATAAATTAAATAAAAAAATAAAAATAATGCTCTGAGTTGATGAGTTTTTAACCTGAAAATTTTTCCATTTTTCTTCTTTTAAAAGTTATATCCAATAAGTATATTATTGTGTTACTTAATATGTAAATTATGAGAAGCCAAAAGTGAATCCCAGGTGCTCTGATCACATCTTAAAGCTCTGCTTACATAATTCAGATCGTGGGAATTTGTTTTGTTTTATCAAACTGCTGTTGCTTCTTACTATCTGTTATGTTGATTTCTGTTTGTTCTTCTGATCACAATGGTGACTGTGTGATAAGGCATCATTACAAAACCTAAAGCTATCCAACAGGATGCAATTTCTTCTGTTACCTCAAGTAAGAGTGTGGATGCTAGAAAAGTAAAAGGATGTGGGTAGATATGGTGAACTGACAAAAGCCTGAAAACTTTGACATTTGTATATGTTATATGGAAATTATGATATCAGAAATTGTCAAATTCTAGCTATTAGATCACTAGGAAGTGATAGAAATCATGGCATCAAAAACCTCTGTCCTGTTAACAAAATTTTCCCAATTTTACTTCTGTAGTTTTTCTTTTCTTTCTTTTTTTTTTTTTTTTTTTTTTTTTTTTTTTTTTGAGACCTTTGGAGCCTGCCCTGGGTAAAGAGTGACAAACCATTGCAAAACCAACTTCAAGCTACATGGCCATGACAAGAGCAGCACATTGAGTTTTACAACACGTTCCAATCTCAGGCCTTCGTCACTACTTCTATAAACCTGTCAGTCGAGTAACCATAGCCTAATTGTCTTCAATATGAAAGCAAATCCAATAGTGCTGATTCTGACTGAAAAAAAAATTATGTGAACATGTGGAAGTTATTTGAAGAAAGACATGAAAATGTGATTTTTGTTTTTTCCTTTTGGCCTTAGAGACACTGAAGAAGGACTTTCTGAAGAAGCAGGACAACCCAACTGCAATGGTGAGCTGTTCTATTTTCTTTTCTTCTTGGATGCTATGCAGCTGTGTGTGTGTGTGTGTGTGTGTGTGTGTGTATGCATGTATTGTGTACTGACTATTTTCTGTAACTTTTCTGTGTGTGTGTGTGTGTGTTTTATTTTTTTATTTTATTTATTTATTTTTTTGGAAGGGTTCTCCAGCCACGGGACCAGCTTTGAAGATGACTTGAGTCTTGGAGCAGAGGGTGAGTGGCACAGCTGTATGATGTTGGGATTAGTGCAGAAGGATCACATGGTATGATTTAATGGTAGGGTAGAAAGTATCAAGGTCTTCCTGGGGTTCTATCTGAAGGGAAAGAATAGTTTGATTTTTTGTTTGTTTGTTGTTGTTACTTGTTTGTTTTGATATAGGATAAACACAGAAAGTATCCCAGGTTTAGAAATATTTCTTCACCTGCCTATTATGATTTCTGACAACGTTTTTGTGGTGCTTGAGGGGCTAATATCAAAGCATCGTTAAATTTGCTATATACTCATCCCTATGACTTCTTTTCTCTGTTAGAAGCCCCAAAAGCCAAAGAAACCCAAAGAAATGTGAGAGCTTCTTTCTCCTCTTCTACTTCATCTTCTTTATATTGGGCATCAGACACAGGGCTCCATCCTACTCGGCAAAAGCTCTGTCACTGAGCTATATCCCCACCCTTGATAAGTGGTTTTAAGGAGAAGATTTTGCTTCAGAGGATAAGGTTTTTGATAAAAGATAGAAGCACTTCATCTTACCAATATCTCCAGAGACTTGTAAAAAAAAAAAAAAAAGACCCATATGATGGGCAGGAACAAGATCCTAAAGATCTGAGTGACCCTCATGCTCAGGTCAAAGAGGCCATTGACTAGACTTCAATTATAAATCATAAGTTCAGACTCCAGGCTAGGTGTTTTCTTGACATGTCTGCTGCACTTCTAAGGCTATGTTAGATGAGATTGACATCCCAAACTCTGTGCCATTGAGCTGATGTGCAGTAATAATAGAGGGAAACAGTGGAGCTATTGTATAGCCATAGAAACAACACAGATGCTTTTCATTTTCCCTTCTAACTTGTTTTTACCTTTCTGTTCCTATCCAGCCACATTATTGGCCACCAACGGAAACATCTTTTCCAGGTAAGTATGAAGTTCAGACAGTTTGAATGGTGTCTCCCAAGGGGACAATGAACTGAAAGAGGTAGACAATCAGAAATTTTAAGCAAAGAGGCAAAGAGGAACACTTTCTAACCAACAAAGGAAGGCATAGTCTAGTTTTCCTCAGTATAGGAAAAGTATACCTATACTGAGGGGGAGCTTGAGGTCAGGTATAGATTAGAAACTGGAGCTGAATGACATCAACTTTGATATCTGCAGGAATTTCCTCCAGACACCCAGGCCTTGCCGGTTACTTGATCTTGGCTGTAGTTTGGCTTCCAGCAGCATGACTGGTGGGACCAACAAAACCAGTTCAAGGTAGGTAGAAAATTTTGGAGAGTTAAGTTCATTAAAGAATGAGAGGCAGTGAAGAATGAGCTTTGGGTCTGCATACTGGAGCTTTTATGCATTCTCTATATACAATCAAGAAATGTGATGGTGTTTGTACCAAGAATAGGGGTGAGGGAGATGCAGGGGAAGCTTCATCTCAGATACCGATGCTGTGTATGAAACACAGGTACCTTCTTCCACTGATCATATACTCCAAGAGGTGAAATAACAGTACTGTCACAGAATCTAGATGTATAATAGGTATTCAATAAACCTTTTGTATTTTGTAATCAACTAATTTATTGATAAAAAGCAATACCAAGCTTTGTTCAGACCAGGGATTAACTTACAGAACTTGAAAATATGAAGCACAGTTTGTCTTGAGAGTCCATAGAATGGACAAGACACACATACAAATAAATCTAAAACAAGATAGAAAGTGTTAGAAATAAGTGGGATATAATGAGAATGTTAGAAATTTGGGGACAAAGTTTTAATTTGAGACATGATACGGAGACTTAACATTTTACTTGCATGTGACTAATCCTACCTACATGGAACTCAGTTAAATAGGAATGTATAGAAGTAGGATTCAGGCCAGGTGGTGGTGGCCTACACCTTTAATCCCAGCACTTGGAAGGCAGAGGCAGGAGAATCTCTGAGTTTGAGGCCAGTCTGGTCTGCAAGAGCTCTTCAAGAGTTCCAGGATAGGCTTCAAAGCTACACAGAGAATCCCTGTCTCAAAAAACAAACAAACAAACAAACAAACAAAAAAGTAGGATTCAGGTGCTGTATTAGTCAGAGTTTTCTAGAGTAATGGAACTTATAGAATGAATCTCTCCCTATATATAGAAAGGGTATTTATTAGACTGACTTACAGGCTGGATGTCTCAACTGGTCTCCAGTATATTCTGGAATCCCAAAGAAGTAGGCAGTAATGCTAGTGAAGGAATCAACTTGCTAGGGAGGCAAGAGCGAGCAGGCAAAGAACAAAAGCTTCCTTCTTTCATGTTCTTGCATAGGCAGACTTCTAGCAGATGGTGTGACCCAGATTAGACGTATGTTTTCCCAGTTCAAAAGATCTGCATTAAAGATGTGTCTTTCTGGCTCAAAGAACCAGATCAGAAGTAGATCATCCCACTTCAAATTAAGCAAAACAATCAAGCAAACAAAACAAAACACTCTTTCACGGGTGTGCCCTCTATTTTTGGACTTCAGTTAATTCCTGATGAAATCAAGTTGACAGCCAAGAATAGCCATCACAGATACCTAGATTTTTAAAAATTATTCCTTCTATTTTTGAAATTATAAAGTTATCAAATCATTCCCCTTGCCCTTTGCTTCCTACAAATGCCCCCCCAGATATTTCTCCTTGATCTCTTTCAAACTCTTGGCATGTTTTTTATTAATTGCTGGTGTGTGTATGTGTGTGTGCTCAGTCTGTATAATGCTTGCATGTATGTTTTCAGGGCTGACCATTAGTAATGGTTAACAATATAGTATGCTCATCTCAGTGGAAGACTATTTCTCCTGTTCTTAGCATTCATTAGCTCTTTGTGTGTGAGGCCCCATGGCTTCCTTCCATCCACTTTGACATGTCTACTGCTGTTGTTCTTGTTCAGGCTAGGGGACAGAATCTCACAGAAAAATTCCAAGTTCCTTGATGAATCATGAGGACTGCACTTATTTGTGGGTATAAAGATAAGCATTTAAAATTCAGTTAGGGATTTGCTGGTTTGGCAAAATGATTCTAGCATGGTTGTGAGCAAAGATCAAGTAAATCTATGTCAGCAACTCACAGATAAGGAAACATGCAATGGTGTAGATAGAAGGAACATGGAACTGACTACATAAGGATAGGTTCGTGGACTTCACAATCCAGATCCTAATTAACAAAATGGCCCCAATTTTGATTTAAAAAAAAAATTCTGTCATCCTTTCTGAAAAAGAAAAATAGTGATAGCTTGAGCCCCATACATTCCACACACCTCACCTCCATCGTTGAAACACAAACATTGAATACAGGTGTCAAATATACTCAGTGTGGTGCCAGAATGAGCATAGGTGTGATAAGGGGAGGGGAAGTATTTAGTCTTCTGTGAAATAGCACTTCTCCAGATGAACAAAGTGCCAGAAGGAAGGACACCTCTCTAAATCAGTTATTGAGTGTACCTAAGTTCAGAATGAGAGTGCTATAAGATCTATGGTCTTTACACTCTAATTGTTTAGCTCTCTCACATAACCACTAAGGCAAAGACAGTGACACATAAGCTGCAAATCACCTAGAAAAATCCAGATTGGGAACTGACCAGTTAGCAATGTAGGCATACATTGACTCTGTATTGCTCTTCATTTTCAAGCCATTTCCATATTTATTTAAATTCGTTTTCAGCTCTAGAAACAGTTCAAATCCCTATGCTAATAGTTAAAAAAAAAAAAAACAGATCCAGAATATACCCCTCATGCTCCACAGAAATGAGGTTCGAATAGTAAAAGCTCTTCTCAAAACCACAATAGAGTATAGAGAAATGCTCAGGGGGAAAATGCCAGCCTTGATACTATTATTAAATATTGTCCTAGTCACTGTTCTAATGCTGTGAAGAGACACCATAACCAAAGCAACTCCTATAAAAGAGAGCACTCAATCAGGGCTGGCTTACAGTGTCAGAAAATTTAGTCCATTGTCACGGTGGAAAATGGCAGCATGCACGGTGCGTGCTGGAGCCATAGCCTAGAGCCACACCCTGAATACGGGCTGAGAGAGAGCTTGGTCCTAGCCTGGAGTTTTGAAACCTCAAATCCCATCCCCAGTGACATGCTCCCTCCAACAAGGCCACACCTTCTAATCCTTTCAAATACTAATGCTCAGTGGTGACTAAATTTTCAAATATATGAGCCTACAGGGCCATTCTTTCTCAAACCAACAAATATATTATTAATTCATACCTATCTCCAAGTTGTCCTATGTATCAAAACTCTCTCTCTCTCTTTAGTATCTCAGAGATTTTGGACCAGGTACAGGAAGATGCAGAAGATGTCCTCTTCAGCCTGGGCTTTGGCCATGAGGACCACAAAGATACATCTCGTATCCCTGCAAGATTTTTCACCAACCCCTCTCAGGCCAAGGGCATTGACTTCCAGCTCTTCCTGAAATCTCAGATGCAGAGAATTGAGATGGAGGATCCCTGCCTGATGCTGGCCAGTAAGTGTTACTTCAGATGGATCCACGCTTTTTTCCCTTACCTTCCTTTCCCTCTCATATGCAACAGTGGCTCCATACCCTATTTTTTTTTTCTTGGTTAACTTTGTCCTTTGTTTGTTACATTCTCATTTATATTTTTCCAAAAGTGGAGAACTTTAGTATATGCTTTTCCCTCTTAAAGAAACAATCTTCAGGAAACCTAGGGCCATCAATGTTTTGCTTAGGCCTTTTGTCCATGAGCTGAATCAAATCAGCACAAAATCCTTACATATTATTACAGTTTAAGATCTCATTGTTGGGTTATTTACTGGTGCTATGAAGTTTGCAAACAAAGGAAGTTCTGGGTACCTGAAATCTTAATTGGAGGACCGCCAATGGATAAATTGGTACTTGTCTCTGAAATTGCAGTTTTGGGAAGGCTTTTGAGTACACATATTAAAAATGTAATTTGCTGATGAGCTCCTGGAGTCACCATCTTTATTCCTTGTATTTAGGCCGGTTTAAGCAAGTGCAAACTCTGGCTGTCACTGCTGATGCTTTCTTCTGTCTCTACTCTTATGTGTCTAAAACACCCGTCCAAAAGTTCACACCATCCAATATGTTCTGGAACTGTGACCCAACTGATGTGCCGTCCATAAGGATTCTGGCTCCAGAACCTAAACCTCACTCACCCAGAGAACGTCTTCGGAAGGCAATCTCTAAAATGTGCCTGTATACAGGTTCCCGAGATCGGCTGTCACCATCTCACAACCACCACAAAAGGAACAGTTTGGACCAAGTTGTGTGGGAAATGATGGACAGAGTGAAAGGAGAAAAGCTAGGTCTCCAGCAAGGCCCTGTACAAGGGCAAGCCACTCAGCAAGAGTCTGTGCCACCACTGAGAAATACAGAGCTGTCCAGTTGTTCATTTCCATATGTTTTCCACCCTAAAGAAGAAACTCAGGGAGATGTGTGCTGTGTTCATGCTCTAGCCAGGGCAGGTCCACAGTGCAGTACAGACTCTGCACAGGTAAGGAGAGAGCTGTGGGGCCTACGGGCCGATAATGAGAAGCCAGAGAGTCCATGGGAAAGAAAAAGCAAAGCAAGAAAGAGCCTATTTCAAAGTCCTTCCTTGGACAAGAAGACTAAATCACTGGACTTGTTCACCATCCAAAAGAAACAAAAACAGAGCCAAGCCAGACATGTGCTACACCAATCTCTAACTCAGCAGCTTCAGGATGCTTCTGACGTGGAGCAGGTGAGTTTCTGGAGGTAAAGGAAAAGCAACATATGGATTGCTCTGGATTCTTGCCCAGAGGATAAAGACATAGTGATCTGGAGCAAATCCATTGTCTTGTTCTCATTGGGCCAAATAAAACACAATTTGAGAATATTCAGAAACTTTTATTAAGTGTGCCAATATAGACATAGATAAAAACAGGTCCATTATTTTGAGAGAGTTCAGTTTCTCATGAAATATGCACTGATGTTTTTAATGTTTTTCATATAAGTGAAATTGAATGTTAATGAGATGCATCTTTTCTATGTATAGGTAACCATTAATATCTAGAAGTTTTGGTTCCAGACCTCAGAGTTTTAACCATTTAACTGTGGGTGTGGGTTTTTCCTAGACTCACACTTGGTTTCTCTTTCTTTCTATATCTAGATATGGTTAGAACAATAAAGGATTTTTTACATACTTTTGTGAACAATGCAAACTATGTAGCTAGCACAGTCCTTTCTTACACAATCAGCTATCCATTGGTCATAACATGGACCTATAGATACATACTGACGTGGAAAAGTTCTTCCAAGAACAGACACCAAGCAAAACTAATGCAAGTATATGCAAACAACTTAGAGTTATTTTACAAGCAGATTTTGTGATTCTAGGTAACCACAGTTTTTGAGAAGGGATTGTTCAAGCTTCAGATATTGACCCATCTATTTCTTCATATTCTTTCCACCATGGACCATCTAAAATTTAACATTCCTTTGGCCTTGATGTACCTATAGGCACTGTCATCAAGTGCCAGTATTTTTGGAAAAGCTTTCAAATCCTTGTCATACAGAAAATCTGTGATCATTTACAATAAAAGTCACATGCATGTTTCCACTCATTGACTGTAGTTATATAAGTCATACCTTACAACCAGATGTCTGACAAGGAAAAAGAAGAATATATCTGGAATGCACTCAGTCCTCAACCTTCTTTTAACTCTTTTCTACCCTGTACCTTTCCTTGCTCCTATCTCCCATTGGTTATGATGGGATCTTGTTCACAGATACAAAGCCACAGGGAAGAAGAAGCGAAGGAATGCCACTGGCCCAGCAGAGCCAGACACCCCTACTTCTACCACACTTCCCTTGGAGAAGACTGAAGAAGTAAGTGGGCCTGTGTGTCAGGCTGCATTTCAATGTGTGGATACATTCTCTCTTCAGTGAAAATGCATGAATATCCCCAGTGGAACTTATCCCATAGTACAATTATTTTACTAGTATGGCATGTAATCCATAGCTGATTATTTTTTTAAAATTCCACAGTTGCAGCTAGATAATGCTTTTCTAAGTAAGTGGCATTCAGACTTAGCATATATCAGAATATCCAGACATTACAAACATCTGGATCTCAGTTCATGGTTTCTTTCTCAGTAGATCTGAACAGGGACCATGAACATGCATCTCCAACAAGAATCTGACTCTCAGGTGATCACCATTCAAATGCCACTGTCCCAGAGGACATTTTGCAGAACCTTAGCATTAAGAATGTATACTATTATGAGAAGCTGCTGCTGGAAATGGAGAATCAAGGGTCCCACCAGACTTAATGGATTACAATTGGACAAGATTAGACCAACCTCTCTACTAGGATAGCAAAGAAAATAGCATTAGGTTACCCATTGTCTTGGAGATCATATCACTTTGTACAGGTATGTACTCTCTAATAAACCATCTACACCAAAAATTTCCCAATTAGTAGTCTACATTTTCAGTGTTATTTGCCTAGAAACACATTTAAAGCAAGTTCTCTATAGTTTGGAATGCTCACCGCTCTTGTTTCTCTTTTACTGTACCTGTAGGTCTGTATATTTGTATCTATGTGATCATTTATTGAGACATATACATAGGAAGCAAGGAGGTAGTACATGTAGTTGAATTTTTAAGTTATGGATCCAGTCCTGATGTCTAGGCCTTTAATCACAGAACCAGAGCGCTGTGGAAGAAAGTTAGCAAATTTAAGACTAACTTGAGCTAAGGTGGTTTTCCACAAAAGTCTGTGCTTTATCTTGAGTGTCTCAAAAGACAGAGGGGGCAAGGGATTAATGATGTGACCTATACCTTCGTCTTGAAGGTCTCATGGATGCGCTCTCTCCCTCTCTCCCTCCCTCTCTGTCTCTCTATCTCTCTCTGTGTGTGTAAGGATGGGTTGTTATATATTTCAGTATCCAGTATGACTTTCTTATAAGGAAATTTAATAAAAACCAAAGCTGCAATGACTTCACAAAGTAGTATAATATCGTCCTCACTTATTGTATATAGAACAATCCAAACTTTACTCAAAATATGAGGGGCAGACTCCACATTTAATGGGATGACAAAATCATGCAGTACAAAGACTTGGAATGGGAAGGATTTTGGGCCATCTTTTTAAGCAATCCATTACAGATTGTAACAAACAAACAAACAAATAAAACCCAGCAGCTATATCAAAAGTATTTATTCACCAAGAACAAATTCTCATTCAAAAGGTATTCAAGCCCATGCATATAGAAATTTGAAAGAAAGTTAAATCTATTCAAATAGAAAACAAAGAAAACACACTGCATTGCCTGTTGGCCATCCCAAACATCTGCTTTAAAACACAAAACTTTGCACCTATGCTGTTTGTCCACCAGATGGGAGCCTCACACAAGAAAATGTCAAGATGTCTCTGAATGCCAAGTGCCCTCACCAACCTGAAGCCATTATGTATATTTTTCCTCTTGTTTAGGTATTGGCTTACTTAGAAATGTAATATATAATTTAACACAAATTGTAGATAGTTACCTATAATAGTCAAAATTTAGAGTTAAGTTAGTTAGATTTTCTAAATATACAGGGATGTATTTAAGATGGATAGACATTCTTCAATCCTTTCAAAGACCTACAGAATAAGGCATTTAAAATGGGTTAGGGTTTCTCTTAACAGCGAGGCACAATCACTCCCGGAAACACCATTTGTGTCAGAAAGGAAGATGAACATCAAAGGAACTCGTTATGAAGTTTACTTCCAATATGGGCAAGATACTGCTCTTGTCTGGACTGTTTGACTTTATGCTATATAAACTGGACATGCAGGGCCCACAGGAAAATGACTGCTGATACAAGATGGACATTGCTACAGGGTTCCTGCTACAGGGAAGAGTCTGCCAGACAGTCTACAGGACACAGAGAAAAGTGACTGACAAACTGCCAATGCAGGTGGACAGTTTAAAATTTCCTGCTTTGCTGAGGAGTCTGCCAGACACACTATGGCCTATAGGCTGAAGATGGAACATTAGAAAAGAACTTGGGATGTCTGACCAGGCAGTGAGTTGTCTCTGTCATTCTACAGCTTATATATTATCCTTCTGTGGTCTTTGAAGGAGTTGAAGACAGATAGTTATGGTTATAGTTTTCCTTAGTTAGGATTAAATATCAGTTATATATTTGACTTTAGCTCACAAAGATATGATAGATGATAGAATATTTTCTTTAAATGTTAATGGACTGAATATTTTAACTGTGATTCTTACTTGATAACTGTTTTGTTATATATTTTGCTATGTTAAGGTTAAAACCATTCTTTTCTAAAAGACAGAAAAAAAGGAGATGATGGGAGATGTCATTCTGTAAATATGTTTCTTTTATTGGTTAATAAGTAAAGCACTGTTGGCCAATAGGAAAGAAAGATAGGTAGGACTAGGAGACTAGGAGGAGAGAGGAAGTAGTAGGGGGAGATTCAAGATGGTGGACTGAGAGAGAAGGCAGGGGCCTCTCTCTGGTAAGATAAGACCACGTGGAAGTACTTAGGTTAATAGAAATGGATTAATAATTAAGACAGATCTACCTGATAAGAAACTAGTAACTGGCCTACAGCTTCATATCTAAAAAAAAATTTCAGAATCCAAAAATATCAGAATTATCTGGCAAAGAGATATATTTGAACTAAATGAGGCCCTATCAGTGTAACAATACTTCATCTTATCAGGACAGATAGGCATCCTACATGTGCATTTTTCAAAACTGTAAAATATCTAGTATGAATTTTAAAATTTATATCATTAGTCAAAATTTTATTTTAATTACTACATGTTCACAAGCAACAACAAATAATTTTGCATCTTATGAGAGAAAGCCAAATGCAATGCTGTGCATTAATTTCAGAGGAAAAAAATATACTTAGAATTTCAAAAAATTGAAACCAAAATATTTTAAATGTTTCTCTCCTATGATTACCTGGGAGAATCAGAAATTTCTTCTCAGAGAGTCTTTGTTTCAGTCTTGGTTCTTGTCATCCCCACAGTCTTTCCATGTGCTTTTTTAAAAATTGAAAATAGATATTTTCCTTTTCAAAAACATATCTTGATTATGGTTTCTTCTCCCTGTTCCCCTCCTTGTCCCTCGCCATCTCCCCATCTGGATCCACTTCCTTTCTGTCCTTTATTAGAAAAAAACATTCAAGATGTAATAATAAAATAAAACATTAAGATAAAACAAAAACACACCAATAAAAACACGAAAAAGCAAACAAACAGGAGAAAAAGCCCGAGAAAAGTCCTAAGAAACAGATACAGATACAGAGACACACCTGTTTGCTCACTCAGGCATCCCATAAAAACACAGATCCAGGAGGCACACAATGAAACTGTGCATAGGGGGAGAATTTTAAAACGATAAAATTTAAAACAAAACATCCCCAACATGACTTCATGAGACAAGGACTCTCCAAACGTAACATTCACTTTCTTCTTTGTTGGCCATCTACTGCTGCTAATGTGGCCTACCATTGAAAGCAGTTTGTTTCCACAGTGAGATGTTTACAAAAGTGGCATTAATTATCACTCTCAACCTGTGTCTATCATTCTTTAAGAAATCAATGGTAATTCAAAAACTTCTCAGTACTGTTAAGAGTGACACCTATGTGATAAGTATACAGGGGAAATAGACTGAGGTATGCTGAATTAACCTCATTCCTAGTGTGGTGGCAATACTCAACTGGCCACTCTATTCAGCTGAAAAATCTTCATTGTACAGAGATGCCCAGCCTTCTAGAGTAACAGGGCTTAGAGGCTTCTGCCAACCCCAATTTACCGTACAAAACTTTAAATAGTATAGAGAAGTGAAGGTGGGCACCTATTATCCAGCCTGTATCAAGTTATAAAGCATGACTAAGGTCTGGACTTAAGGCATTGAATCTACAGTTAACAATAATATGAAATTAAATTTTATATTTTTGTTAAGTTGGTGAATATGTGTGTGTTTGTATATATGCTGTATGCATATGTACAAGTGTGTGTGTTTGTATGTGTGTGGGTTCACATGTGTGTTTGCATGTGTGTAGAGTCCAATGGTAGATATTACATGTCTTCTTCTTCAATCTTCTAAATGAAAAATTTCCTCATTAGCAGTCTAAATTTTCAGTGTTGTCTAGACACACATTTAATGCAAGTTCTGTATAGTTTTAGAATGCTCACCGCTCTCATATATATATACATATATATATGTGTGTGTGTATATATATATGAGACAAGGAGATAGTACATGTAGTTTAATTTCTAAATTACGGATTCAGGCCTGATATCTAGGCCTGTAATCCCAGCACCAGGGTACTGTGGAAGAAAGTTATCTAATCTGATAGTAACCTGAGCTAAGGTTGTGTTTGTTCCACACAAGCCAGGGTTATATATTGAGTGTCTGTTTCAAAAAGAAGATGGGTAAAGGGATTAATGATGTGACCTATACCTTAATCTTGAAGGTCAGATGGATGCTCCCTTTGTCTCTCTCTGTAAGTGGGGGGTTGTTTTATCTTCCATATTGCAGCCTGAGTACTTACATGGAAATTTAAGAAAAACCAAAGCTGCAATAACTTCAGAAAGTTGAATAATATCCTGCTCACATTTTTTTATGTATAACAATCCAACCCGAATTCCAAAGGATGCCCAGCAGACTCCACATTTAACGGAATGACAAAATCATGCAATACAAAGACGTGTGGGATGGGAAGGATTTTGGCCATCTTTTTAAACAATCTGTTACAGACAGTAAAAACAAACAAACAAACAAAAAACCCAGCAGCTATATCAAAAGTATTTATTCACCAGGAATATTTTTTCATTCAAAGGCTATTCAAACCCAGGCATATAGAAATTGAAAGAAAGTTAAGTCCTAGACTCACTGTATTCAAATAAAAAACAAAGGAAGTACACTACATAGCCTGTTGGCTTTCTCAAACATCTGCTCTAAAATACAAAACTTTGCACCTATGCTATTTGTCCACCAGATGGCAGCCTCACACAAAATAATGTCAAGATGTCTGTGAATGTCAATTGCTCTCACCAACCTTAAGCCATTCAGAATAAATTTCAGAATCCAAAAATATAAGAATTATCTGGCAAACAGATATGTTTAACTAAATGAGGCCCTATCAGTGTGACAATACTTCATCTTATCAGGATGGATAGGCATCCTACATGTGTATTCTTCAAAACTGTAACATATCTACAGTTAGTATGCATCTTAGAATTAATATCATTATCAAAATTTTATTTTAATTACTATGTGTTCACATGAATCTTATAAGAGACAACCAAATGCAATAACATATAGTAATTTCAGGGGAAATATGTACTTAGAATTTCAAGAAAATGAAACCAAATATTTTAAATATTTCTCTCCTATGATTACCTGAGAGAATCAGAAATATCTTCTCACACATTCCTTGTATCAGTCTATGAGCCTTGTTATTTTTAAAGACTTTCCAT